AAATGTTGTAGGCCCGTGTGACTCAGATTTGGGTGCACGTTAAAGAACCCCAGGTGGTCAAAATTTCCGGAGCCCTCCACTACGGCGTCTCTCATAATCATATGGTGGGTTTGGGACGTTAAACCCCACAAATCTAATCTAATATAAAATGACCATTTGCTTGCCCGACCACCAGTTTAGATCAAGGAGGTGTATCCCGAGAAAAAAAATTCTGCATACCACCCTGCGTAAATACGAAAACGAGCGCGTTTATCTGTCCTGGTGTTATTTATTTTCAGTATATGCGACCAAATTCGTGACGCCATCGCTATGTTCACATGACGTCAGGATCAAATAAACTCTCGATTGGCCGATATATTGTCGCCTACCTCGGTTTGCTATACAGTTGGTGCATGATCGGTGTGCCTTGTCTGGCATGCGCATCATGCACGACAGACTTATTTCACTTAGTTTTCTGCCTTTGCGACTGCGCAAGTGGGGGTGGCAGCGTTTATAGTCGAAAAGCGCGAAATCCTCACTGGTTCAATGCTTAGGTCTGACATTGCATGTATTTTCTGAAGAAATGCGTGGCGGTGAAGAGTTGTTGGAATGTGAGAAAGATACTGTATTGTTATTGAACTCGTGGTGGTTTAGGAGCCCTTTAAGAAAAGTTTGTTTCTTTTCTTTTTGAAACTTCACGCACACGTATCAAGCAGGCATGAATGGGGCCTGAATGCAGGGGTACTTTTCGAGAGACAGTTGCTTCGAACATCTGGAAGAACCAATCGGCTTATTTCAAGTGCATTTGTTGGTATCAACGGGTCAACGGGAAGAGAAATATCATTTGTAACGTTTTCTGCTCGATGCTGTGTGATTACGCGCCTGATACGTGCATTTTTTTATTGTCAAATACGCCCTGCAAAACTGCGCACTTATGACATTTTTTTAATTACTAGGCTCCGTGGTAGCGTGCATGTAAGCGCATGTTCTAGACGCTGAAAAATACTGTGGATGTTTAGAAACAGCGTTCTAATGTAGCTTGCGAGCTCTGTGCGAACGCGTCGCTTTGGCAACTACTGCCGGAGATCCAGCCTAGATTTCTATTTCCCTTTCATGATTAGACCTGCATACAGAGTTTGCGTAAAAGCGGATCGTGCTCACTAGATTTACTTCTTTAGGCTGACTCATGACGCTGTCAGACACAACCTTGAACGCGAATCTTTACTTACTGCAGTTACTGTAGGTTAGGCATGCCAGTGGCTATAACGTAATTTATTTTCAGTGAAATAAGAATTGTGAAATAAATTACAGACGGGATTTCCTTCGATAACGAGCACAAGCATGATATCTGCAAATCGTTTGAGTCAAAGCGCCCCATTTACCGAAAAAATGCGTAGATAATTTCGATTCAATCGAATCCTGGCTGCGGTGGGTGCATTTCCGATGGGGGCGGAAATGCTGAGGCCCGTGTGCTCAGATTTGGGTGCACGTTACAAAACTTCAGTTGGTCGAAATTTCCGGAGCCCTCCACTACGGCGTCTCTCGTAATCATATGGTGGTTTTGGGACGTTAAACTCCACAAATCAATCAATCAATAATCAACCAATCAATCAATCAATATATGAACCAATCAGTCAATCAATATAATAATTAATCAATAATTGTGATTCAAACATGTAGAAGGTATCGCAATATTATCTCTGATTATTACGTATTTTTTGAAATAGTTCACTTTTTTATATTACTTCCAAGCAGCCAAGATATGCCACCCTTCGGGTTATTTTTCAGGGTTTTATACACCTTTTGCCTTGATTATATCGGGCAGGATACATACTTAATTCAGCCGTCGCCCTGGCAATGAGTGGACTAAGGAATCGTGCGGCGCTCCCGCATCAGATTTTTGGGAAACTCAATAGACTGAAGGGCTGTGGTATAGTTATATAACCGCAGGCTTTTTCTGAAAATCACATTTTAACTCCCGTGCGATAGTTGTGAACATAACCTACCGCCTCAATTATTAACGTGCATATATTGGAGAGCAAGTATCATCAAGACTGTTGCAATCGTCGACGCATCATCAACACGCATCATCGACCCGCATCATGGACTCGCATCATCGAGAAAGACCACGACGACTGCAGTATGAAAGATTAACATTTTAAAGGGACGGAACGCGAAAGAAAGTATGCGAAATAGTATTTGCATGTTTCTTTTGTCAATGCCCCACTGAACTGAGGAAAAATTGCATACCGAATGTGGTTCGCGATGCGATCCGAAAGGATGCGCGTTATACACTAGGTGTGCCGAATTTGGAAAGTGGCCGAATACCAATTAACCTCTTCCACCTTGACGATGCCCTTTCTCAAGAGCGCGCTTTGTTAGCCTCCTACGCGCGACATTCGACATGAGGCGACCGTTACGCGTGCGGTGATGCTACAAGTGGGGGCCCCGAGGGGTCGCCTCCAAGGCTCGAAACCTGGTCGGAGCCGTCCACAGTCGTCATCGACCAGCGCTTCTTCTGTCACCCGCTGGCGAAACAGCCGAGTGGCCTGGCGACAAAAGGCTCAGGGAGGCGCGACGCGAGCAGGTTTGTGCAAGCAACGTCCTGCCAGGCGATCCGGCCAGTCGGTCTCGGGGGCCGGCGTGTTAATAGGCGCCTCCGGAGTCGCACAAAAGAAGCTGCCATCAGCGGCGTGCATATATTTGGGCCGGTGAAAGGGAAAGGGGATGCTCTGCCACACTGCTCTCGCGGGCAGCCGTAACGGTACAGCGCGGCGACGAGTGACCATAATAAGGGGCCTACGAGATCCCTAATTGCCCGCTGTCGCAAGCGGCGGCTATCGCTCGGTGCGCGTCTGACTAGGGGCCGGTGGTCAAGCCAGCGGAGGTCTCTCTCGACTACCGCTGCTCTGTGGCTTGCTGGCGCGTGTCATTTGCTTGATAACGTACCCTGACCTCCCCACGGAAGAGTGGCCTTCCATCAAGATGTACAACCTCCACATACGGACTCTCTCGTCTGCTCGCCTTCCCAGAATAACAACTGAGAATATATGCTGCCACAAAATCATCTTGTAAAAAGCCTTACGCTGTTTAATGCGAAAGAAACAAAACGAAACTATTCTTTGAAGCGTCTTCATTTGCTCCACGGACGACATTTCTAACCCGGGCCTGCGTCCATGCTTGAAGACACAGTGCATGCGTCCATATATCAGCACGATTCGCAAACGGCAATTTTCGGAAAAACTTAAAGGAGGCACTACAGAATAAGTGTTACTTCTTTTGTCCACCGAGTCAGAATCAAATATAGCGCCGAAAGCCCTGAAAAAGTTCTTGAATCTAAAGCATAGAGAACTTCCTGGTAAACGGGTGTGTCATACGAACCACACACATATTTTCGATGTAATTCTCAAATTGTGCCCCTGTTTAACTGCATTTGTAGTTAACAGGAAACCACAGAAAGGATTCAGCGTAAACCAGAAAAATATTCTCCGACTAAGAAACGCGGGTAATGGCAGTTTCTAACGAATGAAAGTACTCAGGCTTATAATCGATATGGACGCGTTAAAGATGCCGTAAGTGGCAGTTTCGCAAGATCGACCTGCATTTCTGCGACAATAAATAACAAAAACCACCTGCGAACTCGCCAGCAAAGAGGGCGCAGTTTTGGGTGCACAAAGTGTTTGCCCGCGGTCGACACTTCCGGAGAATGCTCTATGTGTGGCAAGGTATTAGTCAACAGTGCCGTGGCTTGCGGATTCTACTAGCTGCTATTACTAATGTACCGATCTTTCCACTAACGATTGCAGTGGTGGATGCGTCGTACGCGGTGGTCTAGTGGCTAAGGTACTCGGCTGCTGACCCGCAGGTCGCGGGTTCAAATCCCGGCTGCGGCGGCTGCATTTCCGATGGAGGCCGAAATGTTGTAGGCCCGTGTGCTCAGATTTGGGTGCACGTTAAAGAACCCCAGGTGGTCGAAATATCCGGAGCCCTCCACTACGGCGTCTCTCATAATCATCAGTGGTTTTGGGACGTTAAACCCCACATATCAATCAATCAATCAATGCGCTATAGTTAGAGAAAGATAACACGACCATTTTGCTTATCACGCGACGCTATATTTTGAGCGAACGCAGTGGATGAAATACAAGTAATCCAAGTTGCGGTAATGTATCTTCCGCGAATAGGCAATGATGATTGTCCTGGGGAGCAGACCTGTGCAACGCAATCAGTGTGTGCAGTTCGTATACGGCAATCACCGCTGTCGTTTTAAGATGGACCCTACATGTCGCGATCTTCTTACGTCTTACGTAAACAGATACTGCGTGCTTTCTTTTGCCAAACGTGGTCTTCCACTTTTCCGGTTGCAGTTTGAAAAGCTTCTCCCTCCTCCTTAGAGCGGAAAGAAACAAGCGATAGCGTACCGTCGTTATCGTCGGGATTTCCCTGGTGCTGAGCCGTACGTAGAAGGAAGATGCGCGCCAAATGATCAGAACGTGCGGTCACGTTGGCTGTATTGAAGTGCAAGCATTGTAAAAGACTTCGATATGACGATCGTGGAAACCGGTGTTGGGGCAAGGAACAGCTCGTGTTTAGATAAGGCGTCACTTCCGTTTTTTTTATCTAAAGATACCAGCTTTGATAAATTAGCGGGTGTAGTCGCGTAGATTTGGACCCATCGGGTATATAAGTGGTTTCGCGCGTTTTTTTTATACTTCATCGTAATTTCCATAGGACATATGCTGCTTACTATAGCGTTGGACACAGGTGTTCGAAAAAAAGAAAAAACCACGAAATCTGAGCATCCGCAGATTTTGTAGTTTTTTTTTTTCTCTCTCCCAGTCTCTTCTCACAATGATGTTGTTTACTTTAACCAAACTGTCCACACACACCGACATCATCGGTCGTACATGGGCCCGATGTTCTCCACACGATCAAAGATGTTCGGCCGGGCCTTCTCCAGACAGGCGAGTGCAGAGAAGGCCCCGCCGGCGCGCGCGAGATGTTTGGGAGATGCCTCGTACCTTGCGGCTGGTTGTCGTGGCCGGCCGAACACGCGCAAACACACACAACGGTCGGAGTCCGCGAGCGGCGCACAATCCAGCGCTGCGGCGGCTCTGTAATCCAGAGGCGAGGACCCCAGGCCGGCAGGTATCCGGTGGGGGGGGCCCGGACGTTGTTTGGCGCGCGTCGTTGCGGAGGAGCGTCCGTGCCAAAGGAGCCGCTGGCACTGGGGGGCACGCGCGCCGCAAGACGTCGGCCTCCCTCTCGCCCAGGAAGGGGGCACGTCTGATCGGGGTCGGTGGGCCTGCCGAGGTGATTCCTCACCACTCCGCCAATGAGCTGCTGCCGTGCATCTTCTGCCGACGAGGGGGCGGACGGAAAACAGGCACCCTTTCTCGCCGCGAGAAAGTGCCGGACGCGCGCGCGCACGCGGTGCGTCTTTGGCGGCGCCGGGCCCCGACCACGTGCGCGGCCGCACGAGACGCGCCGCGGTTTTCGACGGCTGCCCGAGTACACCCTCGACTGTCGCGCCGCTGGTCCCGTTAGAGGTGCGCATTCTGGACCCTCCTTGCAGAACCTTACTTGCCCCCCCCCCCCCCCCGGTCATTAGCTTTGCCCTTGTGATAGTCAACTGTGCAGGCGGGCCTACCATTGTAATGAGGTCTATTCTTCCTTTAGACTCGATGTAACATCAATCGTCACCAGTCGTTTCAGACCCTCAGTATAGCGGATAGCCTTCAAGCCTGTCGTGTGCTTCGAGACATTTTCCTGCTTGCCCAGAGTAGGGTGGTCAACCGGGTTCCGTCCTGGCAGACCACCCTACCTTTCTCCTCCTGCCTCTATCTCTGAACGACCTTGACTGTACCACGTGGCGGTGTATCTTTGTCATTAAATATATTTTCTGAAAATCAATACTGAACAGTACAGTGTCTGTGGGTACACTTGCAGTGAAATCGATTTTAGTAAAAGAGGGAAGATAAATATAGTGCACACCACCTGAAGTTTGCTTTTTCTATGCAAATTTCAGCCGTGACATTTTATGCCATTTTGCCATTTTATGTCATGTTATGCCATTTTATAACATTTCTGTTATAATAGTAAAGCATTTGCTACCCGTAAGCTCGTATCTCTAAAGCTCCTGTGCTACGCATCTGTTACATTCCGACTGTTGGTAAACGAGCTTGAACATAGCTAAAGTAAGGCGTGTGACCGAGTTAGTTGGTATTATTACATAGTTACTTGAACAGCGCGGAGAGGCGCAAAGACAAAGGACCGACTGGACTGGCACCGATGTCAGTGCCAGTCCTAATCAGTCCCTCGGCTTCCTGCCTCTCCCGTGTGGTTGTCGTAGCTTTCGCGTCACTTATTTTGGGCATTGCCGCAGATGTTATTTTTCTAAAGTAGTGATAAGGAGTAAACAAACCCTTGTTTTGGCTACCACAACATTGCCATCAGTAATTAAAGTTACCCCCGTATTCTAGAACGTCCCTTCACTCAACGCTTCACCTTCACTTCAGAAAGCCGATGGGAGCGCCGTCTCTACGCACGGCAAGTCACTGCATATCAGCAATAATCTGGTGCAATTCTTGAGTATCGCAGCGTCATTTTGTTAATGGCGTTTCTTGTTAATTTATTTGATAGAAAACATGCATTTGTTTGTATTTGCCACCACTCGAATAAGGACTGTTGATATTTCTATTCTTTTATTCACACTTCTGGCAGTTCCTGCTTGATTATGGTACCCGTGTAAGATAAAACGTGATGTTGTAATCTTCTGAGTACTGTACTTGCGGTATGTTTCTGCTTTTGCTGCCAGAGTGGCACGACCTAGTCAGGCTTTTACTTAGCCTTTAGTCGTGTCCCCCAAGGCAATCTTGTTCAATTTTGCCTTGAATAAAAGCAAACCAACCAACCAATTTTCAGCCGAGCGGTGGCGCAGTGCTCAACTCTGTCAAGTGAAGGGTGGAAGTCGAGTCGAGGAGCGTTTGTGAATACGGGGGTTAGTCTCTTTCGCAAATAACCAATTGCGGCCTCTTTTTTACCCTGCACGTGCGGGGTCTCCAACCATTCTTCGATAACCGCTTTACCTAACTATTTCTGCGGCTTATATTTATTCATGCTCATGCCTGTTGGCTCATATAGTGAACGTAGTGTCAACGAGGGTGTATTCATAAGACACCACAGACACTTTGCATTTATTTTTTGTCATTTTCTTACCCAAAGAACAAGCACAAATCTATAATATACTACAACACATTGATGGTACCCTATTTTTGACTGAATGTAGTTTCTTGATAGAGAAATTATCATTTGTTTATTCAAATTCTAATTGTATTTAAAAAATGTCCTAGGATGTAGGGTATACAACGCTATGAAGAATCTGGTACCAGTCATTAAAACATAAACAACGGGTTAGGGTATGAAAAATAAAACTGTGGTGATATTTTCTTTTTCGAAGCTGTGTTGATCTAGGAACCAACGTTACTACTCTAGGAACTTGTAAATGCGATCGTGCGAGCTATAAAATAAATTTTCGCGGTGTCGACTTACCTGTTGCATCTTTCTTTCAAATACAGGAAACCACCCGCACATCTGTGCATATTCCCAATTATTCGAGCACGTCTCGATCGGCGGGGGTTTTCTGAAGTCTGTTCCACGGCTCCGTAAGTAAACGCCTTCAAGAACACTCTTCCGCCGAAGTATCTGAATTTTCTTTTGGTCGCGTAATTGTACCGAGACACGGAACTTCAGTAAGAAGTGGCATGCAGTGCAAGGCAGCAGTTTGTAGCGATAGTTCGGTATAAACATATTCCACATTCATAAACGGTGGTGTATATGGCGCCGTCGACACATTGAGGGGTAGCTCCCCGACGCGCTGAGCTTGGAGTTGTTCTAGAATTAAGACGTCTTTGTGAATGATAATAGAGAGGAGAGTCAAGATTAAGGGCGTTACAAAAATGAAATATGGTGGTACAGATATAATCAGGCTTGCCTCCTAGCCTGCCACTCCTTAAATATGTACAGACCAATGCCGTAATGATAACTAAACATGGTCACACTGAGGTGCTTGTGCTATAATTTAAGCATAAACAGAAGCTTGTAGCTAACGTGATGTAGAAGCTGTGGCCAGGAACAATATCGAGAGCGACATGCTCCACTGCTCTGGACAAATGTGATTGAATCTGTACATACATACATTAGCATACAGGCTGAAGGTTTGAGAAGCATTGTTTGAAAATTCAAAAATACCACTAGTGAAGTTAACTTGCCGATAACGCTGATTCAAACGATGTACAACCTAGTGAAACCAACAGACAATAAATTCAAAGAAAGTACAGGGGCATAGTTCTGCATACCATTTTACTGTGACGGGCTAATTATATTGCTCTATCGATGTAACTCGACCAATTGGCCCGAGCATCGGATGCCGGGTACCGCCCCCAATAAATACAGGAAAAACAAAAAATAAGCTGCAGACAACCACCGATCGAGACGGGAAGCGATAATAGGAGCCCCTTCTATGGAGTTTAGTGGAGGCTCGTGTACTGTGCGATGTCGGTGCACGTTAAAGAACCCCAGGTGGTCTAAATTTCCGGAGCCCTCCACTACGGCGTCTCTCATAATCATATGGTGGTTTTGGGACGTTAAACCATAGTTATTATTATTATTATTATTATTATTATTATTATTATTATTATTTCAAACTCTTAACAATTCAAATAAATTTTACCGGGAATGCTTTCGACATCATGAAACCAGACGACACTGGCCCTGCTCGTCCCTTTGGTTACGTTGTAAACCGAGAAGGGAGCAAGGTTTATTTGACTGTCTATACTCGGCGACAACTTTTCTTGGCAGTACTGAGGAAGCTATACAGAACCAAAACGCATGCCTGGTACCACACCAGAAAATATTACTTAATTTTACATGGTAATGTTCTCATTTACATTGGTGAAATGAATACCGCCTTCTATCGTGAGATTCAAACCGTTGCGGAATGGCGCAGGAAAAGCACAGTCATTGGCTTCCTTTCCTTTCCATGTTTTAAAAGACAGCACCACTTTTTCAGCACGCCAGTTTTCTAAAGTACATTTGGCGTCCGTAGTGTGTTAGTGTACGGCTATATAGGACTATAGATACGGCCGCGAACGCGCTGTTTGGTTTTTCAAGAAAATTATTATACTCTAAATCACAAAGATGTACACTGAACAGTCGAAATATTTCTCTCACGGTACATTTTTCGTGTGCGTAATTTTCTTAACGCATTAAGATGGCAGCGAGCGAAATTGAAATCGGCCCCAAGCTGCGGTAACAACACGACTGGTCGAAGGCCCGCATCCTTCGCTCCACTGTCAAAATAAGTTGTCGCCGAGTGTGGAAAACGAAATTTCCTAGACGCGAGCAGTGTTTAAAAAGTTGGCTCATGTGTTGACAGGGGCCTCCTGTACTGATAGGTAGCGTTTCCTGCGTATATTCGAAAAGTGTTTCAGGACCACAATGATGTGACCGTTTGAGATCCTGACTAATTTCGTAATCTAGACCAATCAGAGGTGTCATATGAAAAAAAAAACAAGAATCCGGCATCGCACACTCGTTCCGTGCGGCGAATTTCCCGATTTAAGAAGTTCTAGGGTGGCAAGTGTGTGAAATAAAGTATCAAACAATATATAGTCCTTCGGTAGCACCTGTGTCGTCGTTTATTTTTCTAGTGAGTGTTCTGTTGGAGCTGGCTTATTTATTTATTTATTTATTTATTTATTTATTCATTTATTTATTTACGAGTAGTTCTGTTTCGTCTCAACTTCTGCCTTCAGATTTTAGTACGGACAACGAAAGAACAAGCGCTGAGATTGTGCAAAACAGATTGAAGTGCGATACGGTTAAAACGTTGCACAACGAGCTCTTCGAAAAGTAATGCACGAAGAGAACGATCCAAGTTGCCTCAAAATTTCAGCTGTAAGGCAATAAACAATACAAAACAAAAATTTTAAACAGGTAATGTCTGTGTTGTGTGCACCAATTTGTACCGTTGTCATAAATATTTTTGGGCCGAGGGAAGGGGGGCTTCAACTATACTTTATGTATATCCATACGTGTAATTGTATGTGTGCGTGTCTATATATGCACGTAACACGCAAAGATTTTTTTTTGAAGGGGGGGAGGGAATCGAACCACCACCTCCCCCTCCAGGCTATGCCAACAGCGCCTATG